TGATTTTAAACCTAAACAATTAAATTTAGTAATTGAAAAAATAAGTAATAACTGTTCTAAATTTTCACTCATTGCTATAATTATTATTTAGTTCAAAATGATATTTTAATAATAATCTTATACATGCAATTGCCATTTCTAAACGTTTAATTTTGCTGCTGGTATCATCAAGTAATGATAAACTAACGCTTTAAGAAATACAGGTTTCAAACAAATTTCTAGCTTTACCAAACAATGTTAAAACTCTTGGAATAGAAAAATAGCAGATATTTAACCATAAAAACAAAACATAATGTACTGGACATAGAGAGCAAGCAACAGAATATGAGCGGCAAGAAATTTCTATTTTTACAGAAGAAAAATTCCCATTTATTAGTTATAAGAGATTTTTTAAAAATCCATATAATGAAATGATGTAAACTATGAATTAACCAACTAATCCAGATCACTAGAATCAATCAAGGTGTAGGGATAATATCGCCAGATCCATCACAATATGAAATGGCACTTTGAAATAATAAAAAGCCATGCCCAGTGTTGCCACTTCATTTTGTGCCCAATTCCTAGCATTAATAACTACATCGTTTTTATGCCCATGCATAGAGATTGGAATTATGAACATTAATTTGCATAATGCACATGATGATCTTTTATATAACCGATTTATTTAAAAGTATAAAATTTAACCTAAATAAAATAATTATTTCTTAATCATTTTCATATCCATCTAACTCATATAATTCAATTATGGTATCTGACTCATTTGATCCATTATCACTTTCTTCATCACCTTCCCTAATCTCATTATTTAAATTCCCTTCCACTTCTGATAATTCATTATCTTCATTTTCATCCTCACCTATATCAATACTACATCATTTTAAGTACATGATGTGAAACTTTGGTACGGTTTGCAGCAGCAAGCAATTTATGTGAACAATAATTACATTGAGCTCTTTCTTGTTTATAAGTGGTCTCATGGCCAAGCTTTGTAAAATAAGACCAAATTTTACTAATTCATTATTCATTGTGACATTATGCGCATTTTAAAAAATTCAGTGCGCATTATGCAATTTTGCCCATCTCTACCCATCAATGCATCTTTGAACATCTTCATAACGAAGCTTATTAAGCATCCCTTCATATTTATGAAGGATTTTATATAACATACATGCAACTCCTGTCTAAAAATCAAAATAATAATTATTTTTTACTCTTGAAATTCTATAACAAAAAGAAAAAAAAACTAACCCTTAAGGTTAGCAATGTATGAATAATATTATGGACATCATTAGGAATTGCTATATGTAAAAGAATTGAAACCTGTTCTAATAAACAATATTTGAGGATGCCTGTTTCCCTATGCATAGCATAAATTTCCAACATATCTCCTACAAAATTTAGTTGTTAACCTATGAATCTTATGTAATTAGCATAATTATTACTTACCAGCAACATTAACTGTAAAAATTGCCAGTTGCTGTCTTGTAATTGATTGGCTAAATCTTTTTCAAAGATTAGAAACATTCCTTGTGGTGTCAATAGAATCTATAGAAAATCCAGCCAACTTTTTATGATCCCATATTTGCTTAATTAAAGTTGAATTCAGCTGTCCAGTTTCTAAAAAAGAAATTTCAAGTTCCGCATTTTTTCCTAAATGAGCTAGCAAAGTATAATCTGCTCTTTGTGCAATTTTTCATAAACCTTTCCTCATAGCACTAGCTAAACTTCCTTCTTTGCCTCTTAATTTAGAATTTTCATATTATTCATGCAACAAGTCAGATGAAATAAAGTGCTTATCTAATATATATAATAAACATACCATATACCCTATGCTGATGGATACCCTGGCAAATCATCCATCACTATATTTATCAGTGGAGAAATTACTTCACATACATTAAGAGCCCTCATTAACCCATGGTTTTCCATTTTTTGCGAAAGATTTGTATTTCAGTGATCCCTAAATTTTGCCCCTAAAAAAGAAAAAAAATATAAATATTGCTTCCAATAACCCTCCATTATTTGCTCAAGTTTTTGGATTGATCTACTCACTTTCCAAATTCGATGTTTCCCATAATATCATATTCTTCAGAGTCAATCTTTTCTTCTTCAACTTTAACAAACTCCTTACACATATTAAATATCACATTATTTTGTTTTAACTTATACTTTTGAAATGGTTCTTGAAAAATATTACATAGTATTTAGGATTTAATGAGAAATTAAAAGGTATTTATTTATTAGTATTTTTTAGTGATGTTATTCTGCTAACATGAGTTAAAAATCTACATACAGATTCAGCATATCAACTTTTGCCAGTAGTTGGAAAGATTTGAGCAAATCTTTCTAGGCTTATAATTGTAAATCATATTTCCCATCCTTATTCCCATTTTGTGTAATTTTAATAACCTACACCATTAGGGTATGTATTCACAGATATCATGAATGCCATTAAGGGTTACACACTATTAAAACAGCAAAAAATCCCTTAAAAACACTTGATTTTAATAGTGTGTGACCATGTGTGATCTAAGCTTGTGGGTGAAACTCCTCCAGAAATCAATCAACAGAGTTTCAACTAAAGACTAGTGCCGTAATCCAAAAAAGGAAAAAGTATGGTTGCAAAAGTGGTCGCAAAGGTAATTGTGACCACTTTTTATATGCCGTAAATACAATTACTACCATCACCATAATTTACGGCACTAGTCTTTAGTTTCAACTGGTTACACATTAATTGTTTATTAGAGTTTCAGCAGAGTTTTGCATTTGGGGGTTTTGTCAATTGTCAGAGTTTTGACAAGGTATATACTAATTGTTCATTAGAGTTTCAACAGAGTTTCAACAGTCACTAAGAGGTTTCAGCAAGCAATCTTAGTTGAATTTGGCATGAATTGCTAAGGAATATGAATGACTTTTGCCACTTTTTTTGGCTGATCAGATAACTTAGATATTAAAGCAATTTTGGGAATTTATTTTAAGAAATTACCAAGTATACAAAAATATCAACATTTTCTTTTTGAAGCATCTAATCTTGGTACAGTGAAAGTTCAAAAAGTTGCTAATGGTTCTTTTGTTGAATTTAATTTATTAAAAATTAGGAGAACAAATACTTTTGAAGAAATTAGAGCTTTATCTATTTTAGTGTTAATACCATCTCCTTTAGATTGCAAAAGACAAGAAGACTTTTATAATAATATTTGCCCATTTGTGAAAGATGAATACAAAGATATTACTTGCCTCAAGCAAGCATAAAATGTAATTGAATAATTTTTATACTAAATAAAAAGGTGTTAGATGTCATAATTAACTTTTATTCTTCCCAATCTTAATTATTTTGATAACTAAAATAACTAGAAGACACAATAGTATTCCACAACCAATCATTCAGTGAGCTTTCTCTCTTTTATTCTTATTAAGTTGGTTTTCTAATTGAGCTCTGGGAGTTTTATTCCACTTTCAATAATAAGCCTCTGGATCTCTTCCTAAAAATTGATTGTTTTTTTGGGGTCTGAATTGCCTTCACCATTTTTGCAATGTGAATCTAGGAAAAAATAATATTAAAAATTCAGAAACAGGGTAAGTTTCACTATATATAACTTGAAGGAATTTCTGCTTCTTTTCTTCATAATTGTGGGGCTTTTCCTTAAGTTCACCAGCAAATGATGTGGATTTCATTTTTTGTATAAGTTCTTGGCAGACTTCTCCAATTTGGTCTCAGGTTTCTTGGTCAACAGCATTGACATTGTTAGGTAAATGATTTTAGTAGAAATGGTTATATTTCCTATTCCAGTGTGTAATCTGGCAACAATTTTATTTTTTCCTGCAACAACAGTATTTTATTTGTTAATAGGAAAAGTTTTTCTGCATCCTCAGCTACTTTTGGGGGAAAACTTTTCCTCAATATGCTTTTGATTCCTACACTTCCATAGCCTTCTTTGTATTTAGGAACCACCCGCATATAAAAATGGCAGCCCATTGTATTATTTATATATTTTGCGTCGTATCACACAAAGAAGATAGAAAAGGAAAGATGCATATGACCAATACCGCCTGTTAGAAGTGGTTATATTTATCTACCACCACTGCTTCCATCATTACCATTTCTCCTCAATATCTACCTACATTTCCTCAATTTGGAATTAACTCAATTACTTTGGCTTTAATGTAAAATGTAATACATCATCAACTGTCTCTAGGATGCGAATAGAAACATATTTCAAATAATTGAAGGGGCAAGTTAAAAAAATTTTTTTTTTGATAAAAGGTAAATTGAAGATACAACTTTATTTAAGATTTTGGGATGGGGGGTTTTTGGATAGGAAATTATGATTGGCTAATTTGAATTTAATTGCAAATTCATTTCACGCACAATAGAATCAAAGAAAAATCGCCGATCAATTATTTCTCTCGTAGCAGATATGTATGGCCATGAAAAAGATTAATCTTTATTTTTATATTTTCATAGGAACTTTATAGACGTTCATGTCAAACCGGCAAAGTATTGTTAGTAATTAATCAATTTGTAAAAATTTGATTTATTTAACTATAATTTATATATATATATAAAACAATATTTACAAATAAAGTTTTGAAAATAAGCTAATATCGATCAAGCAATTATAAAATATTATTCTATTTCTATAAACTCTGGACTGATATTAATTTGAAGATATATTATTAATGTGTATAT